CTCAGGGAACTAGTGGAGTGAGTCCTCTAGGTGGCCTCGGGTGGCTCCCAGTCCTGGTCGTCACTCTCTGGGTCTCGGCTTCCCCATCTTGAGCACTTGGTCAGCAACTCTCAGCTCACCCTCTGGGACAGAACCTTCAAAAGTCGCAAAGGCAGGGAGAGAGAGATGGTAAAAATATTAAACTTCCCTCCCAGGCAGGTGGTCTGGGGTAGGACCCTGGAGCCCTGAGCTTTAGCTCTTCTGCCAGATGATCAAGAGGTCTGGGCTTTTCTGGGGCAGGGACCTGGGTGGCAGGGGCCCTCAGGGCCCTCAGGGTAGTCATGTCGGCCCAGGGAGGGCAAAGACCTTTGCCCAGGGTCACCCAGCAGGAAGGAGGGCGTGCCAAGGGCACAGAGAGGATGCAGATGCCCCTCTCTCCACCCGCCAGGTTCCTATACTCCACAGGCAACAGCCCGGGGCGCGACCCCCCAGGAGTGGCGGCCCAGCCGACTGAGAAGCAGCCCCCCACCCACTGAGCCCCGGAGGACGAGCTATACCCCAGCCCCTGCTGACGAGAGCTTCCCTGAGGAGGAGGAAGATGAGGACTGGGAGCCACCATCTAGGTCTGTGGTGGGAACGCCATGAGGAAGGAGATAGTCATGGTCTCTTGGCTAGGAAGGGTGAGGGTAGCTAGTTCTTGCGCCAAAGCGGTGGGGGCAATGCAAGAGTCTTGTCTGGCCCCCGAGGAGGGTCACCTCCTAGGAGAAGAGAGGAAGCACTGAGCAGACGGTCTCAGCCAGGCTCAGGTGGGGGGAAGGGCACGCTGGGTGGAGGAGGGCACAGCAGGGGCAAAGGCGTGGAGGTAGGGAAGCAGCCTGGTTTGCCCTTCCCAAGTCTCGTAGTCTACTGTTCTCTGAAGAGCAGCAGCAGACTCAGAACTTCAACCCAGACCCTCCTGACTTAGCCCAGGTTGCTTGATGGCTTCCTGCAAGGGCAACTTTGGGTCACAGGCACCAGCTGTGGGCCGTGGACGTGGTGGTTTTTGTGGTGTTGGCTTTAAAGGGCTCAGCCTCGCACCCTGGAGGAGGCGGCTCCTGCAGAGAGCTGGCTCTGGAGGAGTGCTATTCCTCCTCTAGCCCTAGCCACTCCCTTCTCATGGGCTTTTGGTCAGGCAGTTCCCCCTGCCCAGAACACCTTTCCTTCTCCTCTCCTGGCCAACACCTATTCATCCTTCAAAACCCAACTCCAATTCCACTGCCTCTGGAATAGCTTCCCTCCCTCCCTCTCTACACTGGTACCCACAGCTTCTTGGGTGAGCCTCTTAGTGACACTGGCCACCTCGTGTCTACCTGGTTAATTACCTGGCTAGTGTTTCTTCTATGTGGCACCCCTAGCTCAGTGCATGGCACCAGCAGGTGCTCATACACACTTTGCAAATGAATCCTCAGCTCCTTGCGAATAGGGGCCAAGCCTTACCTCCAAGCCCCTGTGCCCAGGAGAGGGTCTGGCTCAGAATGTTAGTAGAATTAATTGACTTGAATGGACAGAATGTCCTTCAGCCTCAGTCTTCTCATCTTTAAAACGAGAAGGGAAGGAGGCAGCTATTTTTGCGTCATTGTCCCTGAGGCTCCCTAAGAGAGGAAAGCCTGCCTGCAAAGGTAAGAAAGTGCTTTGCAAACCATAACATACTTTATAAACAGCCAGGACTTTGTAGCTGGTAGATGGCTCTGTGAACTCTGAAGTGTGAAAATGTGACTTGTTATCTTTCTAATGAGACTGCATTTTAGAGCTGATAATGGGCTCCTACAACCTGTAATGGAAGTAATAGGGTGGTCTCAACCCCTCCCCCAGAACAAATACTCCATTCTCTCCATCCATCTGTGTCCTTGCTGGCTCCAGCTCTGTCCCTGTCACTGTCCTACGATGCCATGTGTCTGGGAGGGGCCGGGGACTGTCCTCTGGGGCTACACCATGGATCTCCTCCTCTCTGTCTGTCTGTCTGTCCGTCTGTCTCTCTTCCCAGGCGTCCTGTGTCACCGCTCTCCACCCCGTCTCATCTGCCCCTGTTCTAACTGGCCACCGGCAGTCTTGGTCGCCCCTAACTGCGTCTTCCCCCCATTTTGTGTCACCTACCACTGCCCTGGGGCCCCAGCACTGCCACCGAGGATGCCCGCCTGCCCGCGGCCGCCGACATCCTTCTGCTGCACCTGGGCGCTGAAGTACTCCATGCTGCGGGGCTCCATGGCCGCGGCCGCCCGCCCGCCCGCCTGCCCACACTCTGGCCCCTCAAGTCCAACGCTGATGGCCATTTAGAAGACTCCTCAGGCCCCAGCCTGCCTGCCCGCCTACCCGCCTGCCAGGAGTTGACGCTCTCTGGTTCCTACGTTACAGCCCAGCCCCCGGCGCCACCCGAGAGGAGGGCTTCTGGAGCGTGTTCGGGGAAGCCCTCGAAGACCTGGAGTCGTGTGGTCAGTCAGAGCTGCTGAGGGAACTGGAGGTACGGGCCCCTGCCCTGAAGGCCTGCGTGGGGGGCACCCATGTTTGGACATACTAGTTAGTGTGTGTGCCCATGGGAGGCAAGCATGTTGATGGGCTTGTGCTCACGGGTAATGTGTATGTGTGCACTTCCTTGGAAAGGTGTCTTCACACATGTGCAGACTGCGCATGGACATGTGTGCAAGTATGACTGAGAGCATTGTGGTTGGCACATCGGAGTGTGTGCATATGTGAACGCGTTTGACGCCATTGTGTGTGTGCATTGAGACCGTGTCTGTGTGCATGTGTGTGAGCACACTCATGCATGCATAAGTGCTGAGTGTCTTTTCAAAACATGTGTGTGTGAGTGTGCACATTTGGACGCATAGGGCAGTGTTGGTGTCTGTGGGTGCATGTGCTGTATGCGGACATGATTGTGGGCCTGCTCTGTGGAAACGTGTGGGTGTCAGCTTCAGTTATAATTAACAGAGGGGATGAGGGGCTCTAGGAGCCAAGAGGAGAATGCAGCTTTGTGTGAGGTCAGCACTGCCCTCAATGGAACAGGCTGCCCGGTACGATGTAGGGAGAATCCACTGGGTCACTGCTGAAGCTCCTTCATACTCTTGAGAGCAATCGCTTAAATTTCAGCTTTTCTTTCACATTTTCTCTCCACTGTGTTCTGATTGTTTTCCTTAGTCTGTCTTCCAAATCATTAATTCTCTCCTTGGCTGAATTTAGTCTACTGTTTAACCCATTTCCTAAATATTGTGTTTCAACTGCTACATCTTTTATTTCTATCATTTCTTGTCATTTTTCACCTCCTCACCGTCTTTTTTCTTAATGTCTGCTTTTCATTTTATTATTTTTCTGCACATTTTAAGCTGACTCGTTTTAAAGTTTCTTTTGGCGTCTTTTTTTTTTCCAGTCCCCTGGGTGCAAATTCATTTGTCTCTTGTGTCTGTGGGCAGGTGGACCTTTTATTTTACCATTGTGCTTACTTTCAGCAGTGGTTACACCTGGAGGCATCCCACACGTGTTCTGTGTTGCTGAAGCCTCTCTGAGGTAGTGCCTCACAGGTCTTTGCTGGGGCTTCTGAACTTCATCAGTTTCAGGCCAGTTTTTCACATGAATTCTTCAGCTTGGTTTTTTCTTTTTCTTTTTCTTTCTTGCTTTCTTTCTTTTTTTAATGATTAATAGAAGATTTATTTAAATAATTGTACATATAGTCATCATTGCCAGACTTAATATGAGTTGTTAAATGTTCAACCCAACTTTCCTTCCCGGATAAGTTTTTCTTTCCTATTTCTGTCAGTTTTGACAACGTAATACCAGAAGACGAGGGGCCCAATTCCAATCACAGCTCCTAAGAGCAAGGACCTGGGAGTGGGTCTGAAATTGGGATAGACATGTGATGATCTTGTGTAGGTCCAACGAGTCAAGGCAGGACCTTCAATGAGCCCTTGGCTGTTGGGGTCGTTGTACTGAAGCAGGTACGACCTTTTAAGCCAGAATCTTATGGCCAGCTGCTTGGCTTGCATTTTTCATCCAGGTTTCCGGAGGTAGGTCGTATTCCCTCAGCCTGGTGTTTTTATTACACTATTTGCAGAAGGCAGGGTCTGGCCCCATGCTTATCCAGGGGTCACATGAAAGTTCCTGGTTTCTCACAAATGGCTTCCCCAGCCCATTCCAGTCCTGGTGGCTCCCTTCTGAAACCCTGTGCTGGCAGGCAGACATGTCTCATCCCNCTGGTTCCAGAACCGAACTTTAGAGTTAGGCAGGATAATCCCCTCCCAGATTCTAGATTTTATATCTCCATTAATGCAACTCACGATCACACTTGCTTTTTTTGGCAGCTGGGTTTAACCGAGGTCAGCCAGGCTTGTGCCTTGGGGTTCCTGGTTCCCTCCTCTAGGATAAACCTCCACTCTGAAGCCTTGAGTGTCTAACTCGCATGCTCTGCCCTGTGCCTCCTCCCCAGGACTGGCGCTATCCATGTTGGCGACCGTATCCTGGCCATCAACAGTGTTAGCCTCAAGGGCCGGCCTCTGAGTGAGGCCATCCACCTCCTGCAGGTGGCTGGTGAGACCGTCACACTGAAGATCAAGAAGCAGCTAGACCGTGAGTCTCACCTTCCACCCTGGGACCATCTAGCCCTTTTAGGAAGGGAGGCCCCTCTGTGCCCCTATGCCAAGGCTTTGTGTACCCAACCTCACAGAATCCTCGCTAAGCCCTACAGGAGGATACCTGGGAAAGCTAAGGAGACAAAACTCAGAGAGGGGAGTGATAGACCCAAGGTCACACAGCTGCTGTGGGGCAGAGGCTTGGTCTGAACCCTGCTCTTCATCACCTCCTGCCTCTTAAGGCTGCTTGTTGTGCCTTGTAGCTGTAACTTGTACATTCCTTAGTTTCCGCCTTAGAGTCTTCCTTCTAACCTGGGCTCCACTGTTGCTCACCATGTGACCTTGGGCATGTTGTTCAGCCTCCCCGAGCCTCAGGGCTCCTATCCGTGAAATAGCTTTGCCTATAAGTGTGGCACCGCCACTCCCACCCCCACCCCCATATATCAGACTGCCTAGCAGCAGGCTTGGTGCCTGGGAATTCCCAAGCCAGACTCAAGTGGGAAAACTGAAGCTGGCTGAGCATCTCTGTGTCTCTGAGGTCATAGGCCAGTGGCAGTGACACCCCCATTTTCCTCCTAGGCCCCCTCCCACCTTGCAAGTCAGGCAGCTTCAGCGAGACCAGTGATGGGGATGAGGACCCGCCAGAGGTACTCAAAGGAAGCCTGCTGGCAGCCCGGTTCTCGCCTGCTGTGCCCAGTGTGGACAGTGCTGTGGAGTCCTGGGACAGCTCTGCCACGGAGGGTGGATTTGGGGGCCCAGGTAACACCTCAGAGCCCTTGGGCAAACTGCATGCTCTCCCTGGGTCTCCCCAACTGCCAGGCCTTTGCAGACTGTTTCCTCTGCCTACTCCTTCTCTCCTGGCTCCATACAGAATTAGCAAATGCTGCAAACTCGGACACATCTGAGGCCAGACAGGTGGCGTAAGTGAATGAACAAGATAGACGGTAAGAAAAATTATACAGGTAGGAGTCAAAAAGGAGGGGTGAGGCCTATGGTCACTAGAGAGCGAATCCCTTATTCAGAGGGGCAGCTGCCAGCTGCTACCCTGGGAAAGAGTGCCACTTGCGGGCTGATGTCTTTTTTTTTTTTTTTCTTAAGATGAGCTGGAAATCTTTTTTTTTTTTTTTAAAGAAAAGCTAGAATCTGGTTTCTTCTTATAATGATTATCATTATCACCATCAATATTGTTTTTGTTTTGTGTGGTATATGGTAAAATACTATATTTTAAAATGTTGGTTCCATGGTTCTTTTCTTTCTTCTTATAAATGGTGTTTGAGTGGAAATCAACATTCCTGGAGGCAGAAGATGGCCTCGGGTCCCCAGGTTGCACCATCTGGTCATGGAACTAGTGAATGTGTGAATTAGTGGATGAGTGAATGGATAAAGATGAGTGAGTGAGTGAGTAAACGCACCAAGGTTTCAGGTGGCTGGGGATGCCCAGCTCCTAAGGCCCTGCCCCACAGGACCCCAACCCTGATGGGTGTCACCCTTGCAGATGAGCAGGAAACCACAGGTGCCATCAGCTACACAGTGGAGTTGAAACGCTATGGGGGCCCCCTGGGCATCACCATCTCGGGCACAGAGGAGCCTTTTGACCCCATTGTCATCTCAGGCCTCACCAAGCGTGGTTTGGCAGAGAGGTAAGCTGGGGCTCTGTGCAGACACATGGGGTGGGCGGGGGCCCTCCTGGGGCAGGCGCTGGTCTTTGGGATTCCAGCAAAACTGGGTTCTGCCCTTTGTTCCCACACCGATGCTCTGGGGGATATAGGGTCTGTCCCTTACCTCTCGGAGCCTTAGTTCCCAGAGGTGGGCCAGCCCCAGCTGACCTCCCAGCTCCAGATCAATGCTGGATAAATGTGTGCTAAGCCCTCTGCTCCCTCCCTACCTGGAGAGTCC